GAGATCTACTCAACATTCTAGAAGCCAAGTACATCAACAATCATGATCATCCTCTACCTCTACTTCACATAAACAGCAGAAGTCTTTTAAATAAAATTTCTGACATTTTAATTTTAAATAAATTTTTATCTTATTTTTTTCCAATTATTATTATATCAGAGACATGGCTGAATGACGAAACCGCTAAACTTGTTCGTATGAATGATTACAATTTTGTTTTTAAAAATAGGTCTGACAGAATAGGTGGTGGAGTCGGAATCTTCATCAGATCAGGCATTGAATTTTCTATGATAAACAATTTGCTTCTGAATGATACCATTATTGACCTTCTTGGTGTCAATTTAAAATTAAACAACACACATGTAAATATTTTAGCAGTATATAGACCCTCCAACACTGACCCTAATATCTTAATCCAAAAGCTCGAACTTATTTTACCCACATTCAAGCCACACATAAAGTTATTTAATTGGCGACTTTAACCTTGACCTCAATAAACTCAACAGTGACAACGTCGTTGCTGACTTCTCTAACCTACTATCATCATACAACTTCTTACCTCTTATAACCTCCTCTACTCGCATCTCAACTTCTTCTTGCTTACTCATCGACAATATCTTTACTAACAACCTAACTCCTCACTTATCTGGAATAATACTATCTGACATATCTGACCATTTCCCTATATTCGCCATCGCTTCCAAATCAAAAATCTCAAACCATGCCCCTATTAAGCACTTCAGAAACCTAACTGAAAAATCTATAAACAACATCAACAATTTCTTATCGAACCACAACTGGAATTCTTTGACTTCTCTAAAAAATGTCAACGACTGCTGATCTGTTTTGAATACTATCTTAACTCACTCTCTAGACACTTTTGCCCCTCTCCGCCCTGTCAAAAACAAAAAGAAAAAATGCTGGATCAATGACAACATTCTAAGCCTTGCAAAAAAGAAAAACAAACTATACATCATAAGCCTTAAATATCCAACCACCCGCAACATTGCCACCTACAAAAGCTTCAGAAACATGTTCACATCTATTAAACGAAAAACTGAACGAGACTACTTCTCTAACAAACTTGAAAACGCACATAACAATGTTGGACAAAAATGGAACACTATCAAAGAAATTCTAAACAAGCAACCTCCTAACTCATCAATCACCAAACTATCAACAACCAAGCAATTGAAAATAAACAAGAAATTTGTGACCTTCTCAACACCCACTTTGCAAACATCGCTAGCCAACTACTCTCAAACCATCCTCCCAGCTATGGTAGTCCTACAGATTTTATGAGCCCATCCACACCCCATTCCATTTGTCTATATCCTGTTACTGAACAAGAAATATTAACTACTGTTAATATCTTGAAAAACAAAAAGAGCTATGCAAACGATGGACTCAACATGTTCCTTATCAAAAGCATAATTTTCTCTATCATATCACCACTTAATCATATCTTCAACGTATCACTAAGCACTGGAATCTTTCCTGACTCATTTAAAATATCCAAAATCATACCAGTATTCAAGAAAGGAAACAAAGATGACATTAACAACTACAGACCCATCTCCATTCTTTCCCCGCTGTCAAAAATTCTTGAAAAACTTTTCTTTAAAAGACTCTCTAATTTCTTCTGCTCCAACAATACTATCTGCAACAACCAATACAAATTCAGACCCAACCACTCAACTGAGCTTGCTATTCTTGACTTCACTCAGCATATACTAAATGAAATGAATAACAAAAATCTTTCTATTGGCATTTTCCTGGACTTATCCAAAGCCTTCGATGTCATCGATCACAAAATACTCCTATCCAAACTACATCATTACGGAGTAAGAGACACAGCTCACAACTGGATGAGAAGCTATCTTTGATCACGGACACAATATGTTTCCATGGACATCAATTCAAAGCACGCTCCTATTCATCACGGGGTACCACAAGGATCCATACTAGGACCCCTTCTGTTTTCTATCTACATAAATGACCTCTGCAATGTTTCGCCCTCAACCAAATGCGTATTGTTCGCAGACGACACCAACCTTCTTTTCACTTCCAACAACCTACCAGATTGCTCTGAACTTATCAATCTTGAACTCCAAAAATACTCTAATTGGGTATCCAATAACAAACTAATCATAAATTATTCGTAATGTGCATACATTATTTTTGGCACAAAAATACTCACCAACCAAGCTCCTAACCTAAACCTATCAATTAATGGTGTTCCTATAAGCCGCACCCTGTCAACCAAATTTCTTGGAATCACCATCACAGAAAATCTTTCATGGAATTCCCACCTACAAACTACTTGCTTTATTCTCTATGATTTTAAATCTCTGTGTTCGTCATTATTTACGACAACTGAAACATATATAAAAAACGCAGGATGGCAAGTTTACTCTAATGTTGTTTAACCTTAACGTTATTTTAAGATATTATTAAAATTTATACGTGTTTACGATGCTTATTAGAAACACAAAAAATTGTTATAATCCAAAGTTAATTTTAATTAAAATATTTAAATATGAATAAACCTGTAACTTATTAACGGACCTTATCGATTAAGAAAGTAGACGTTGATACTGTGATCCACTCGCGTGCATGTGTTCCTGAATCAATCCATATTGACGGTTTTTGTTTGCATTTATTAGACCTTCCAATAATCTGAATAAAAGCGACTTTTAAAAAAAAATGTACAAGACACAAAATTTTTAACAAAATTGTACGAGTAATTTTGAACGTTGTTTCAACCCGAAAACATCTATTACAGAATTAAATTTTTCATGTAGAGGCCTAATTTTTAATTAATAATCAGTCAACCAATTAATCACTCTATTTAATTTTGTCCACGTTTCACCAGAATGTAGCTTGGAATGCCGTGTAAATCACCCTTATTTATTTGATCACCGGTTGTTTATTTTTAACGATGTTTTATAACCTTCTACACAAGTCAATCCGACAGTATAGCAAAAAGATTTATCTAAGCACTTTAACTGAAAAAATGTGAATGTGAATAAGATGAGTGGAACACTAACAGCTAAACGCTCTTCAAAGTCAGGATCATTATCAAAAATATTCAATTGAGAAATCCGTCAGTATGCAATTGCGATCTTTCCAAGATCAACGATATTTAAAGCCCTTCAGACACATTTTACCGATACTTCGGTGATGTGGAGACCTTTCAGGAGAAATGTTATAAACATAATTATTAAAAAAATATGAAAACACTGGAAATACGATATCAACTAAAAATCCGAAACAGTGGTGGTCAAGTAAATTCAAACTAGATCTCCCCAGTTATACGTTCTACTGAAAGCAAGAAAATCAATGACGCCACCCGTTCGTCATCACTGATCAGGAAGACTTCAGCGGGTGGTGGTTCACAGTGTAATGACGTAAGTGCTTCCAGGTCAGCAGGTAATTGCAGAAGCTATAGCCAAGAGAGGAAAACCATTTTCTGATGGAGAACTAGTGAAAAACTGCTTAGAGATATTTACAGATGTTGTTTGCCCAACAAAAAAGTCTTTGGTGGAAAACGTGAGTCTTTCTCATCAAACTATTGGTAGATGAGTTGACGATATGGCGAAAAATATTGAAGATACCTTAGTCAGGCGACTTAACGATTGTGATTATTACAGTTTGGCAGTTGATGAATATTCAGCAATATTTGTTAGAGGAGTTACGAAAACGTTTGATATAGTTGAGGAACTGTTGGACATGTGCCCAATGATGAGCACAACAACTGGAAAGGATATTTTTGAACAAGTTATTCTGGCAATAAAAAAATTCCAGCTTTTTAAAAACAAACTTGCTGGTGTAAAATCAGATGGGGCGCCAAGTATGATAGGAAAGATGAGTGGATTTGTAACCTTGTTAGCACAATCAGTGCCTCAGGATATCATTACATACCACTGTATTATTCACCAAGAAAACTTGTGTGCCAAGACCCTTGACATGAAGCATGTAATAGAAAAGATTGTGTCAGCTGTTAACTTTATCAGATTTAGAGGTCTTAACCACAGGGAGTTCAAATCATTTCTTGAAAAAATGGGCTCAGATTATGATGTTGTATACTTTTGCCAAGTTCGATGGCTAAGCAAGTCAACCACGCTATCCAGATTCTGGAGTTTACGTCATGAAATAAAGACATTCATGGTTAACAAAAAAAAGGAGGTAGCTTTTTTAGATGACAACTTTGGGTGAGTGATTTGGCATTTTTGATTGATATGACAAAATGTATGGCTGAATTGAATGTTAGACTTCAAGAAAAGTACCAGCTTGTGCACAGATTGTATGAACACATTGTTACTTTTATTGAAAAGTAAAAGATAGTTCTGAAACAGATGGTTCAGAAAAAATTAACACATTGTGCAATTCTTTTCACAAGACCTGTGGACACAGTGCAGCATGAAAAGTACAATGAACTACTTGTCAAACTGATCGATGATTTCCAGCAAAGGTTCCAGGATTTTAAAAAGCACAAAGACTTTATGAAATTGCTAAGTAACCCATTTAATGTTGACCCCACTGATGCTGCTGACAAATACCAAATGGAGCTAATTGATCTTCAGAATGACAGTGATTTAAAGAGATCTTTTATGGAACATGATTTGCTAACTTTCTACAAGTGTTACATATCGTCAGAAAGTTATCCTAATTTGACAGAAGATGCCAAGAAGTTTATCGCTTTGTTTGGTAGTACTTATTGCTGTGAACAACTGTTTTCAAGAATGAAAAATGCAAAGACGAAGTCAAGATCTTTACTTAAAGATGGACGTTTGACAGCCTCATTGCGTATAGCGACTTCAAATGTTGGAGCAGATATAGAGTACTTATATAAACGCAAACAATGTCAAATTTCTCACTAAAATTAGACATTAATGTATTTACATATATACTTTTATTTTGTAATAAAAAATATATATCCATTATTATGTGTTACACTTTTATTTATTATTAATAATGCAAAATTGGCTATCGAATTTTTAATCCAGCCCGCGACTTCTAGCTAAATTGTCAATCTGGCCCTTTGAACAAAAAGGTTGGACAACACTGCCTTAGAACAAGACGTTCAGTGCACCTATCAATTAGATAGCCAGGCGCAATACCATTCAAGCATTTGAACATAAGCATTGCAATTTTAAAAGTAATACTTTTTTAACAGGCAGCCAGTGTAAGTCTCTCAAAATGGGGCTGACATGATCAGACCTAGAACGTCCAGAAACAAGTTTAGCAGCTCTATTCTGAATGAACTGCAACATCTGAATAACTCTTTGTGACAGTCCAGAGAATAGGTCATTGCAATAATCCACTTTAGAATGTATAAAAGCATGGACCAGACAACTTAGTGTATGAACATCAAGTGAAAGTTTTACTGATTTCAACAACCTTAGTTGATTTGAACAGTTTCTAGCAAGATGTTTAATATGTAGCTCCATAGACATATCTGTGTCAAATGTCATACCCAGATTACTAGCACTCGTACAAAAATCAATACGTATCCCTTCAAAAAATAAGCCCTTAATATCAATTCTAGACAACAGCTGCCATGTGCTAATGGGCAAAATTTGTGTTTTACTATTATTTAATTTCAAGCGATTAGATGACATCCATTTACTAACATCTGACAAGCAAAGAACAAGATTTTCCAACACCTCAGCAAAACCAGAATGAGAACAACTAGGTAATATTTCGACATCATCAGCAAAAGCCTGACATTTAAAACCATGCCTATTAAAAACTTCAAAAAGATCAGACACATACAACAAGAACAGCAACGGACCCAACACAGATCCCTGAGGAAAACCAAACGACAATCTTTTAACATCAGATATTTCAACACCAAACAAAAATTGTTGAGTACGATCACACAAGTAAGATTTCAACCATGAAATGACAATACCCGAAAAACCAAATAAATGTTGTAATTTATTAATTAAAATCACATAATCGACACAATATATATATATATATATATATATATATATATATATATATATATATATATATATATATATATATGTTGGTAATAGACCATAATTTTTACAATATTCTATAAATTCTACCGAATGTTTGGCGTTAATATGTTTGTAGTTCGTTTTTCAATTTTTCTCACTCAAGTTTTTTGGTGAACGTTTAGTTTATTAAAATTCAAAAAAAACTTATTTTCCGAATTCATGCTGCAAATAATTACAACAATGCTTAACCAACAATGAAAACAAAGAAGTAATAAAAACTAGCATTGTAAATAGTGACAAAGAAGAATATGATGCTATCGATGAAGAAAAGGAGACCAAAGAAGATGACCAGCAATAAAGAAACCTGACACATAATTTCCATCTAAGTTCATTTTGAAAGTCAGTTTCCATCTAAGTTCATTTTGACAAAGTCAATATTTCCCTATATAAACATCAAAAAGCACTGATGATGATTCATTCGGAATCGAAATATGGCCTTATTTGCAGCATGAATTCGGAAAAAAAGTTTATTTTGAATTTTAATAAACTAAACGTTCACCAAAAAACTTTAGTGAGAAAAATTGAAAAAACGAACTACAAACATATTAACGCCAAACATTCGGTAGAATTTATAGAATATTGTATATATATATATATATATATATATATAGTTATTAAGTAATATCACTGCATTTTCCGTATTGTTGAGTTTGTGACTAAGTTTTTCAATTTTTCGAACAATTATTTTATCGATATTATTCAATTTATTCTAATTAATACTAAAATTTATAATTATTTTAGACTGCATTTTTCATATATATATATTTACGTAAGAGATTTTTTCATAGTATATTAACGCTTTTGCATTATTTGATTAATTTATCTTTAAAAAATGGTCACTTCCTAAATGTTTGAACATTTCTAAAGTTGTACCATTGTTCAAATCAGGTGTCCGTCATTCTATGAATAATTATTGTCCTATTTCTATTATTTCTAGCTTATATAAATTGATTGAAAAAATTATTCTTAATCGCCTTAATGGTTTTTTTCATTGTCATAATATATTAGTTTTAGCTAATATGGTTTTCACAACAAACTATCAACTGAATTTCCTGTTGTCAATGTCATTAATTTTGCTTCACTTGCTCTTGAATCCAAAAAATATTCTTTAGATATATTTATTGATATGTGTAAACCTTTTGATTCTTTTGACAATGATATACAATTGGTTTCAAAGACTGTCATAGCCGGAGGTGGGGATGAGGTTAAGCTCTCATTAAATTAAAACACCCCCATTGCGTACGTCTCAGTTTCTGACAGTCAAAATCCAACTTCTAGCCTTCTCATGGCGAAATTGTTTAAATTAACAGGAGAAGGGGCAAAGGCGGATAACTAGCGCCTCAAAACTAGTCGCTTCGGGTTGATTGGGCTCGTTACCAACTAATCAAGAAGGTAAAGTTTGATTTTAAACTTCCACTGCCTTGTGGCTATACCCTTTCTAGGAAAAGGCTAAGGAAGTAAACCCTAACAGAAAATCGACATCACCGAATCACTCATCATCTCACGCATCAAATATGCAGCTTCCTGATGGTCTGGTTTCGCCACGCAACAACAAATTCAGCAGCTACAATCGCTCATAAAAAATTAATTCGCTTCAACTACCTACCTGCATCATATCCTACCGTCACTCAGATATTCAACACACTC